AAAAAAGTTTTTTTTATAATTTTAATTATAAAAAATCACGATATTTTTCGCCGGGATTTGAAACTCCTCAAGAGTTTCTCCGACTACGAGGCTAGCACGCTAACCAGTCTTTATATTGTTTTTTTATGAAAATAAGATAATGGTATAATAAGATTTTGAGCAATAAAATACGTATTCGTAAACTAGTAGTACCATCGGATGTATCAGAACTGCTTTCAGTTTCAAGTATCCCTGTGATTTTTTCGTGTCCTATTTCACTACGCAGTGCTCTTCGTGAAGGGGGTGGGCAACTTTCTCGCAGCAAAATTTCCTTTTCACCCCCACTCCCCTCCCTTTACTAGGAGGCCTCTCATCCCTCTTCCCTTCCCCTTGCCCAAGTGCTCAGTGTCCAGAGTAGTGCCCTTATTAGGAGCCGGACGTATAGCACTATAATATAAAAAAATTTTTATCTAACCTCGTCGCGTTTTTTAAGCTTTTTGGATATTTACTGCACCCTACAGCAGAATTTACCGTACACACGCGCTATCTGACTGGTGCTCTTGAATAGTCCCTAAGGCTTAATAATAGCCCAGGTGGCATAACTAATATTTTGACGATTTTTTTTAAGGTGACAAGGAATTGCTCGATTCATGTGCTGTTACTGTTGATGGAGAAGTTTTGTCTTCGCACGACGAATTGATAAATATATCAGTACTGTTAGAAAGAAAAAAAGTTATGAAGAAGCAAATAAGAGAAAAAAAAAAGATTGGAAAGATAGTAGATAAAGCAGAGAATAAGAAAATTTTGAATCAAAAAGCCGTGTTTGAGTCATCGGAGGACAGCGATACAGATGAAATAAAAAATAATAATGGTAACCTAGGCACAATTGATGAAGACAGTGACATTTATGAAAGAGAAAAGTCTATTTTTGAGAGTGACGAGAGATTCAGCAACAATGACGATAACACAAGCTGTAAATGGAAACAAATTGGATTAAAGTGAGATTTAAATACATCTTAAGTTAGATTAAATATGGTTTAATGAGAGTAACTATAATTGCACTTATACTTTCACTTGCTCTAACAGTCAAAGAAAAACACAAAAATCTGAAACAAAAAATTCTATCCAGTACAGATTCCGCAGTAGAAAATGAAAAGCTGCCATGCAAGTGTCATCTGCTAACAAAAAGTAGGTTAATTTTATTTAAGTATTAATGTAAAATTTGTCATTTATACGTAAATAGAGAATAATTATTTTTCAGAACCAGTAGAGGACATTTAAAAAATAATTTTAATCGCAGAAATATTGCAAACTTTAAATCTTGATGTAAGCCGGTTTAACTCGTCTCTAGACTTCCAATACGCGGCTATAGAAGTTTCACTTCAAAAAAACTTGAGCCAACGGGACAGCCTCCACTGGACATGTATCACTAACCAATCTCCCCATCTAAGATCACCAAATCAACTGAATCTGCAAATAGAAAAGGTGCTTTAGACACCAACGTCTTCGACGGTATACCGGGAGACATTGGGAAAGAGCACTACAACTAGCCCCAAAGCTTCGGAATTTGTCATTTTTCTCCCGATCAGTCTGGGTCTTCAACAGCAAGCCAGAGAAGATCACCCTGAGGTATCCAGGCAGTCACAATCGCTGTTAACTGCAGTCAAGAAAGAGTTAACTNATTTTAATTCATTCCTTTGCCTTATCAATTTTATCTCTTTAGTTTCGATGTCGCTGATCACGTCGTGTTCTTTATCCTCTTGTTCCGCATAACTTTTATTTTTATCGAATGTTTCCTTTTCAAGTTCTTGAATTTTTCTTTGGCTCGTTCCTTTTTTTGAATCATTGTCTTCTGATTTATTTTCTTTTACTCGCTCATGATCTTTAATCTCGTTACATTTCTTTTCTTTTATTTCTGTTTTTACATTAGTCGCCTTTGGATTTTTCAATTGCGTGCAATATGCTGTTAAATACTCTATACCTAATGATGTTGTTTTAGACGATATCTTTTTTTGTGTTCGACGTAGCAAACTCTAAAAGAATATGTAGTTTGATTTTTTACGTTTAATTTTATATAACATGGTTTTTAATCATTGAAATAATTACCAAAAACACCGTCATAAATATAAGTTGGTATTTTTTCTCGGTTATTACTACCACTTGGCGACATTTTTTTCAATCTTTCAGTACCTAGTAGATCAATCATTAAAGCTTTGACCATTTTGTAAGGATTTTTAGGATAAGATTCTTTGTACAGCTCCAGCTTCCATTTAGAAAGAGGAACAGTTGAATTTTCCGTCAAACGTACCTTTAAACATATAAAATTATAAGTAAATTAGTATTTAATGAAAAATGCTTCGATGTGCAAACATAATTACTCACATGTTTTTTGTCTGTTATAACTTCATCTGCATCATCTTGATTTTGTTTATTTGTACAGCGATTCGTCGATTTCTCTCTCAAAACACTTTGTGTAATGTTTGGCTGAAAAAGTTTTATCTTTATTTACTATCCAAAAATTTAATTTAAAAATTTTAAATATAATTTGTTTCAATGAGATTTTCTAAGATCATTATTTCGAATATAATTTGTTCAATCGGTCGCTGTCTACATAGTGACATGCAGCATTTTTTTGTTTTGTTTTATTTTGTTTGATAGAAAGGGAAAAGGAAAATCTTCATAGACACCCGCAAAAAAAAATTTTGTTTGGAAAAAATTTTTTAAAAGTTTTGTTTTTTATAAGTGTTTTAAAACTTTTTAAGCGTAACATTTCAAAACTTTTTTAAATTAAA